TTCATTTTCGGCCTCAATATGCCACAATGTGCAAAAACGTTTCGCCTTTTATGCTGCGGAGTATCCAACTTGTTCTCCAAGGTTAGCTAAAGAAAATAAAAGAATTTATATTTATGGTGGGGGGTGTGCGATAGACTTACCTCCACCCTGGGCAACGTATACTCATACGCCAAAAAAATCTATTAACCGGCAGTTGACTTCGGACTTCAAACTGCCACGACCCCACTGTATGTCATATTCGAATACTTTCACACTACTCACATCTCCTTTTTTCTACCTTTTCCACCTTCGTCTATGAAGCACTCTTCTGTTCTCCCCCCCTCTCGACTTTCACTTTGATGCTCCTTCCCCTCTTTGAAGTCTGAAGTCAACTAAAGGGCTAATGATAACCATCAAAACGCCTGCCATTTGATATAAATAAATAAATATTTATGAAGGCATAAGTAAAGTTTCACAGCACTCTACAAAGAAGCAAACTTAGCAAATAAATCTTTTTTTTTCTGAAGTTTCCAACATATTTCTTGAACGACATGACGACCGCAACGACGACATTTGCTCTGTGCCGAGTCCTTCTCTCCCATGCAATTTCCCCCCTGGCAAAAATCAGAAAAATTTCAAACGCTGCTCTCTTCTGCATTTTGCAGCTGAATCACAAAGTACACGGCGTAAGTTGCCTGTTTGTCGGGGTGATCACAATAATAACTAAAAAAATACTAAAGAAAAGAATGGAAAGGGGTTGATGGCCATTTTTTGGGTAAAAGCATAATTTCCTTACGATAATTTTTCCTTATGTACTCCTTCACTTATTGGCATAAATTGGTCATCTTTCATCGCTGAATAGGTGCTCAAGTAACTAATGGTACAATTAAATGTGGTTACTTAATCTATTTAAAAGAAAAAATCATACTTGAGTCATATTTCGAAATCGAAAACCTTATTTTGAACTTTCACCTTAAATCTCGAGACGTTTATAAATCTGGTGGCTTTTACTGTGATTTCCACGGCCAATTTATTCGTTTTATGTGATGAAGTACCCTCCGTCATGCCGTATTTCAACTGCATTCGTCTGTTTCAGCACCTCTTCCATGCAAATAGTTATATGGTTCTGGCCCTTCACACTCACCTTGCTCCTAAAGACCTATCTCCTGAACCGTTTTCATCGTCGTCTCGGTTGCTTCCGCATCTAAATAAGATCAACGATTGTCTTTCTGAATACACAGAGTCTCCAAATGCCTCGATTCAATGGTATCGTCTGCTCGCTGTCCTCTTTCATAATCAAAAAGTTCCCAAAAATAGTGTCGATAGAGATTTGCTTATTCTGCCTCCACCCGTCTCCATGGATAATCGGCTCTTGATGGCTAGTGCACATCTACCAATCTGTTTCGATATCTTGAAGAAGTATGCTGCAAAACACTCAAATATGCCCCAAGATTTCAAACGCCAGGAACCGACAAATTCCATACGATTTGCATTAGATTATATTAATCAGCATGCACACGATGCCGGGTTGAGAGGTCAGATCAGTGCAATAGTGCAAGACTTGCAGGTATTATCTACTTGATGAATTTAAGTACTATGCAAATTAACTTGATTTGTTTTCTGTGTATAGACCATTTCAAACTGTCTTATCAAGTTAAGCGAATTGCGAAGGAATTCCATTGGGTCGCAGACAGTAGAGAAAGAAGACCAGCATTTTATCATTGAGACACTCGTCGAACTAGCCTCCGCCTGCCGCCTCGTCCCAGAATTGAGACAATATTGGCTTCTACGTTTGACCGAAGTTCATCTCCATGTAAGCTTCCTTGTAAATGTTTCTATGGCACTAACAATTATATTCAGATTCCTTTTTTGCGATAATTTTGACAGTTTAAACAATTGACAGAGGCTGCTCAGACCCTTCTACATACCCTTGCACTCGATATTGAGCAGTTAGTGAGTAGAAAAAGTGCTTCTCTTCCAATGAGTCTTTCGGATGGTCTTAATAGTATGGCTCGTCAATTATTCGTTCCGAATGTTATGGAGGAATCGGCCCTAGAACATGCAGTTGGCTTACCAGTTCCTTTCATAGTATCCGGTGAATATAGCCAAGAGAAAATGACCGTTGGAGAAGCTGGAAAACGATTCTCTGAGTTGGCAGAAAAAGTTATCAAATGTTTTCGTCTGGCCGAACAATTTGAGTTGATACCACCCGTTTGTGAATGGATCATGCAAATCCTAAGCACTCTCGGTGAGGAGGACAACTTGAGCAACATTAAGAGATTTCTCGAAGAATTGGAAGATGATTCCACTGTACGTTGGATTATATGGTCTACTTAATTTTAAAAGAAGCATTACTCATGCAATCCATCTTCTTTAGCATTCACCCCAACTCTTCGGTACATACTTTAGAGTCGGGTTTTACGGTAGCCTTTTCGGTGATCAAGATAGAAAAGAATACATTTATAAAGAAGCACCTTTAACCAAACTTCCAGAGATAGCATCTAGACTACAGGATTACTATTCCAACCAACAAGGAGGAAAACCGGTTGAAGTTATAAGGGATTCAAATCCAGTTGTTGACAAGAATCTCAGTGGTACAACTGTAAATAACGTGGAGCTTTATTTTTAATGAAAGTGTGCGTAAATGACAATTAATTTCGTTTCTTAAGGCTTACTTACAAATAACCTACGTTGAGCCGTATTTCGAAGAATTTGAACTTCGAAAGCGAAAGAGTGAAACTCAACGGAATTACGGAATTAGTAAGTGAAATTAAATGGCTACTTACCTTCTAGAACGATTTGTCATGGTCATACCATTCACTCAAAAGGGTTCAGCACACGGCGGTATTTCTGAACAGTATAAAAGGAAAGTTATTCTCGAGGTGCCCCGAACTTTTCCCTACCTCAGCACACGTCTCCCTGTGATTTCTCGAAAAGAGTTAATCCTTTCACCCATTGAAGTGGCACTAGAAGATGTTGCCAAGCGTAATCAGCAACTTGCAGTGGCGATTAATACCGATCCTCCTGATGCAAAGTTTCTTCAAATGGCTATCCAGGTGAGCCCTCTTCTTCTATCATTCAATTCATAAATTATTCCCTTACACATATATGCCAATTTTTTAATTATTTCGGTAAATGATTAGCGGGGTATGCCGAAAAAATGGGCAAATATTACTAGGTTCAACTGTGTTAAGAATCTAACAAACCTAAGAACAATAGAAGTAAAAAGAGAACCAAGGGTGACTTCTCGATGATGAGTGGCTAGTGGAGTGAGAAAGTAAAAGCTGCCTAAAAAGCGTGCTCTACATAATTGCTTATTAATAAAAAAATTTATAACGCAATAGCATATAGTCAATAAGGTGAATGTGAGATGAAACTATGTCCCAAGAGACCAAGAGGAATGCACACTAGCTATTGCATCAATCTCCCCAATGTTTTGGAAACTTGGCTTCTATATGAGCTTTTGAAACTTCCGTTTTCAGGACGGGTAAGCCGAAGAAATATTTATTTATTTGTATCAAATGGCAGGCGTTTTGATAGCTGTCATTAGCCCTTTAGCTGACTTCAGGTTTCACAGAGAGGAAGAGGAATATCAAAGCAACAAAAGTTGAGAGGGGTGACAGAATAATGATTCACAGATGTGAAAAAGTCAGGCAGACACAAAGGCAGAGAAAAGGCAAGATGAGTACTGTGGAAGGGGTCGAATATGACATAAAATGGGGTAATGGTAGTTTGAAGTCTGAATTCAACTGCCAGTTAATAGACTTTTTGCCGTATGAGTATACGTTGCCCAATGTGCACCACGTGGAGGTAAGTCTATCGCACACCCCTAGGCAAAGAAAAATCAGGACAAGGCGTTTCAATTATCGCTGTGTTTAAATGATGTGCTGGAACTCTTGTATTCTGTTTGTTTTAGGGCTGTGTTAGTACAACTGTGCATCGGGGACCTCTTGAGGTAGCCTCTTCTTTTCTGAATAGACAAGATTCGCCACTCACCTCAAACATCAAAGAAGACTTTGGCGGTTCTACAGACATATCTGTGGACGATCAGAACGAACTTCGACTATGTTTAAAAGAGTTTCTAAAGATGTAAGTGTCACATAAACATCCGGTTATTTGGATGGACTCACCTAAGAGACAGTAACTGATTTATCACATTAAAAAATTCTAGATTTTGTTTACCAACTAGATTTTAACTCTGTTTTAAATAAATGCAGTAGAATCTAGATTTTTTCTTGCCTTCATCCACTACCTATATAATATTAAAATGAAATATAAGGAACATTTTTTAATTTTTGACAAAACCTTTTCAAATCCTTTTTGCCCAATTTTCTTCAGATCACAAGAAGCCGTGAGGCTGAGTCGCCAACTTATTGGTCAAGATCAGGAGGAATACCAACGCGAACTCGAACGCAATTTTCTTCAAATCAAGCTGCAAATGGAACCATTCTTAAAACCCCCGATATCATTTAATGACCTCGTTACCGTATCAACCCTCTTTTAACTCATCTATGATTATGATGATTTTGTACTCCAATATTTATTGAATCGCCATTTTGTGTATTCATTTTTGCTTTACTTACACCATTGTTTATTTTAAAATACCTTACTACTTGTTAATTTAAGTAACACTTTAAGCAACGACATGGCGCGTGTTGAGCTGCCTTCGATTAGCGTGTTGTCAGTTAGCTTTTAAAGAATGAATTCGAAAAATTCAGCGATTCCCTTCAAATTTTGAATTTAAGTGCTCTATACCCTCTTTTTCAAGGCTGTCACAAAGGCTATGATTATTTAAGGATGGAAGCGTTTATAATGTAGAATTTTCGATTTCGAGCAGTTTGGTATATGTTTCCCTTAAACTGAAAGTGCATTTCTGTAATTTGAAACTCTCAGCTACTTTAAAAAACTAGATATCGGGTCTCAAAAGGCCATAGGAGGTTGAGTCTGTTCAATAAATTAGGTCACTTTACTCACTTATTGAAATGTGATGACAAGACTAAATCACAATTTTGTTTGGCACAAATGGAAGAGAATACATGAGGCTTGCAGTCATCGCTCAAATTAGATTTTGTGATTGGCAATACAATATCAAAATTTGGAAAAATTCCTTCTGTGTAAAGAAAAATGAGCTTTCATCAACGAAATTATTTCAAAACATTGAAAAGTTGTGCGAACCAACTTCTGTTTGAAAAGAAACCTAGTTTGGATCAAATGAAGCATACTGGTATGGTGTCCACTTAAATTTTTACAATTTTTTATGCTTCCTATAAACGCAGCTTTCCTCTCACCTGAAAAAATAATTCTCAATTTGCTGAAAGTGGGCAATTACATTTTCTTTCCCATCTCCACCCACCTTCACCTTATTTCGCGGAATGATTTTCCACACGGTGCATTAACAAATTCACGATATCAGACCGATCTTAGAGCTCTTACAGTCCCTCACCAATTCGGATGTCATATTAATTGCAGCGCTAAGTAGTTGTAATAACAACGAATGCGCGGGAGGTGATATTGATACTTATCTACTCAAAGCAATGCTCAAAACCTGAGTTACGAGCAAAATGAGGGAAGGGGTGAAAGTGAGGTGAGGAGGTAAAAGAGGGGAAACTTGTAGAAAAGAAAGAGGAAGGGGAGTAGGTATAGCGAGGGTGTGAGACAATTAAGAAGCTTTCTACAAGTGGAAGCATCATTATGACAAACGATATCTCCTACCACTCTGTTCATTCCCCCCCCCCTCCCCCAACTCTTTCTTACCCTTTCCCCTATTTACACATCCCATGAGAGAGGAGGGGAGGGGAGGGGAGAGAGGATATTTTCTGTCGAGGTGTGCAGCCCTCTAATCAGTGCGTTAAACCGTTAGAACACTGCATTTCCTCTGTCCGCAGGATAATTAAAGACCTCACTCACTCCTCTACTCCGTTCTGTCCCTCCTTTACATTCTCGCTAACTGTATGTGATTTTTCCCATTTGTAAACGATGTTGAATAGGCTTCTGCCTTCTCGTGAATTAAGGAAAAAAATTTCCTCAATTAAACAGATATTTACTTCCCATGTAAGCATAACATGTTTTTTTAACAGGATGGCCGTAAATTTAATACTTATTCCAGTGTTAGTTGACTATTTTGGAGAAGGTTCATGACTTTAAATAGTGGCGAGTAGCAATAATTAAATTATTTGACAATTTCCGCAATGCTCAAACCATAAGCTTCAGAAGTTTCAACACCCAGCGGTCTGTTTATAATTGTTTGCCATCTTCAACATTCTATCTGAAGAGTAGCTCTTTTGACTAAATTTGATAGCTTAAAATACGCGAATTCTTTATACTACTTCAATGTCCTCTGTTCCTTCATCTTATTCTATTCAACCTCTTCCTATTCAACTACCACGTTAACTATCTCAAGCTATTGATCGAGCATATCAAGGGCTTATATCACTAATGCAAGCATTCAAAACTTCCTTTATGAGAGACTTAGTTCCCACAACTGAACAGAAGAGCAGTTTAGGTGTCTTATTTTCATCTCTGTTTTTCAAGGGAAACCCTGGTTCTCACTAAGACCTCGCCTAAGGCACAACATGTCGGCATTTGTGTCTCAACTCACACACAATTTGTGGCACAGATAAACTCATCTGTGGGTCAAAATCTCCCCCCCCCTGTCAACACTGCCTAGATTGGCATTTCGATCAACGACGTCCATTCACGCGGTAGCGATGTAAAAATTACGAAATTGTTGATTATAAAGGTGGGTAATGTCCACGGGCCTCTTCTGACACGCTTAAAATGGTTACTGACATCGTGAATGACTCATTAGGAACAAAACTGCTAAATTTCCATAAAAAGGACCATCATTACTATTAATCTAAACCTTCATTATTGCCACCAGGCAAGGTGAGGAATATATAGATTAAATTATCAACGAAACCCATGTTCAAAAGTAAGCAATCATGCTCTTAAGAAACATGTGAAAATCAATTTGGAGTCTTAAGCAATCGCTGTTGCTGGTCTGATACAATGATGGGAAAGTAAGCTGTAGTGCGATCTACCGGGACATGAGTGTCTTAGCAACCGCTTCTGTGGCAGACTCTCAAATTAACTGTTTGGCCTCAACTAGCTCTGTGCATGAATGTCATCTGCAATTGGGTGCATTCTGATATATTCACCATACCAACCACGTCAGAGATGTTAGTCGACTATTTTCCCAAGTTATTTCAAGAAAGTCTTTTACGTATGTAATCACACTGAGGTACCATTAAAACTGATGTCGAAAGTTCGGCCAGTAAAACCAGCAGCCTTGCCTAAGGTGGACGAAGAGATGGAACACTTAGAACAAAGAGATGCTCAAAAGCCTCTTCATTATTCAAATTGGACTACATCAACTGTTATAGTTTAGAAAGCAGATGACACTCTCCTTCTCTGCACAGAATGTTCGGACAATCAAAATGCCACATAAGGCATCGGACCTCTGGTATTGCTATAATTTTGGATGACAAAATCATTGCAGACAGCTCTCAGTATCATCTTTGGGAACATTTCCTCGCATTTCTTCAAATTATCGAGGATTACGGTTTTGGTCCTCGAGCTAAAAAAATGTGTTTTTTCTCGGACCCAAAAAAGCACCCTGAGTGTGGCTTTTATGAGAATAGCCTTTGAGCAGCTGCTGAAACGTCACTGCCAATAACATTGCCACACTACTACCATTTTTGGGGTCCTATATGCTACCACAGCACTATTCTTTCAGCACTGCATAAATGGATATGTTCATTTCTGATAGACTATCTTCTCATTACATCCTGAGTTCAACAGTTGTGGTGACTGAAGATGGTAATAGTGGGGTGTTTCAGAACTTTGACCATTGCTTATAGGAAATATAGATAGCTTGAAAATGATTCCCCTGACTACCATTTTCGAGGTTAAAATAGCCCATAAATTTCTCAAAACTCAATATTAAGCACTATGGGGTGTGCGATAGACTTACCTCCACGTGGTGCATCTTGGGCAACGTATACTCATACGGCAAAAAGTCTATTAACTGGCAGTTGACTTTTGACTTCAAACTGCCATCACCCCACTGTATGTCATATTCGACCCCTTC